AGCCTTTATTGCCTTGAGCTGTGGTTCAGCCCATGAAAAGTATCTCAGTAACTCAACAACCTGGAACAGAAAAGCCCTCAATTAATCTTTTATATATATTAAAAAATTATGCTAACAGCGTCGATACAATCTTTCCATTTTTGGTGTATAGTGGTATACTGCTAAAATACATGTGCCTGTCTGTGATGTCTGATTACATCAATGCCTACCAGCATCTAATGTTCTTTTTATTTCTAAGTAGGCACCTAAAAATTCTAAGTTATGAAATGAAGTTTTTCTATAGAAATATTGGAAATACTTAAAATAGTATATGCACAATAGTATATGCACATATATGCACAATTGCCACAGTATTAGAATTAAAAAAAAAAAAACTTTATGAAAAAGATGAAAAAGCTTCTAAACCTTCAGCATGTCAAACAGACGTCACCAAACATACAAAAAAAAGAAAAAGGAAAAAAATCTACATAATACCAAAATAAACTGGATACTTATTACCGCATCCCAATTTAGAAAATACATGCAAAACAATCCTACATTTCATGGTAATTAATTTCTCCAATTTTTCCCACACAACAGGAACGAAAACATAATGATTTTGATAACAAAGTAACTTAGAACTATTTTTAACAGATGAATGCTGATATAATAATGGGGAATTAAATGTCCACAGTTAATAAATAAAAAAGCTAGCATGATCAGCCTCAGTATGATTGGAGCCGTTTTCTATTACTAAATCCACAAAACCAATAGCTCTCATTAGACCCGAGACAGTGTTGACTTTTACCTGTTCACTAGAAAAGTATCCATGAACATATTCAATGGCTTTTAATTTGTACTCAGTCAATACAGCCTAGAAGATATAGAAAAAAAAAGCATAATTAGTGCCTCAAAAACTGTAACTATACCACAATCACCTGCTAGAATAAGCCATTAATCTAAATATAGACTAATATAATTATTAAATATAAATAAATTAAAATATTAACCTTTCTGTTGCCTTACAAAGTGACATTTGCATCATTTATACTGCAGTATTCCTCAGTAACGGAATACTTCTTAGATAATTGAGAGAACAATGAAAAGCAGAGGTGTATTTTAACTCTTCTGTTTTAAAAAAATAGTCATTTTTTTATTTATTTCATTATGCTCTTTTTTTTGTTGTTTAAAACTGCACTGACAGAACACCATCATCACTCTTCCTTTTGCCTCTAAGGTTTACATTAATTTTACATTAAAGAAGATATTACAGTTCATTCCTGTAAAATTTATTTAGATGGAATTTATGAAGAGAATTTATGTGAATTTATGAAGAGATCTGGTAACAAGTCTGTACAGACAGAATTAAGTATCCAAGAAAGCCTGCTCCAGCAGGTGGTGATGTCTTATCATTACTTTCCCATAGCTCAAACTTCAATATGCAATTATACAAACCCAAGGAAGCACAACAGTTAACACAGCACTGGCCACTGCTCTTGACTCAGTGGCAACCTAATAGCCAGGGCTTCCTCCCTCTCCTCCCAGGCAGCTCACTGACAGACACACAGGATGTAAATAGGACAGGTAATTCCTGCCCTGAACTAGCACACACACCTTTCTCCCCCAGTTTCCATGGGCCCCATCAATTGACAGCTCTCAAATCACCCCCAGCTTCACTCACACACCCATTTCTACCTTCTTCCCAATAGCCCTAAAACCTACCCTTGTTACTACTTTTTTTTCCTTGCTTTTCCACACAGACAGACTTGAAGTTCTCCATCACTGCAACCCGACTGTGAGTAGCACAGATGCACAGAAACCCACTCACACACTGATCGAGACAACTCCCTCCCTTTCAGGACCTCATTAAGAGGCCAACACTACCAGACACGCTGAAGCCACCGGGGAAAAAAAACTCTCTTCATGCTCATTTTTCCTTCTCTCCCTTCCTTATTTTCACATATTTTGAAAAACAAGCCTGGTATGTCAATATAGCAAATTCATTACCAAAACAAATGTCATTCTTCTTCCTTAAATCAACAACTGAACGACTTAATAGTAAGAACAAAACCAGTGCTGCTATGTTTACTTATTTAAAAAACACCCCTCAAAGTTAATTTTTTTTCTAAATCAAAAATATATATGGGGAAAGATAGAACTAAGCTACACATTAAGACATTTAAATAATTGTTCCTGTTACTTGTAGGACTGAAAATGGAACACACCAACACAACTGACTTGTGAAACCCAGAATAAAGAAGGTTCTACCACAGAGCTAGAAATGAAGTTTAAACAAAGACCTAGAAACAAAGGCACAAAATAAGCATTTGGAAAACGAATGTTACACTGGAAGAGCACAGCTATTATTAACACAGCACAGCACCGATCCTTAGATCAACATCAAGTCGGGCTTACGGGAATAGAGGCAGATAGCGTACAGGAAACATAATTGCCTAAAATCACATGTCAAAAACCCTTTTGTTTGAAGTCTTTAGTAATCACAGAGCGTATTCTGATGGGCCGCACTGCAGCAGTAAAATTTGAAACATTAGTCCCTCCCATCATCAATTCTCAGAAAAAGTATTCATGTGCTATCTGTTCCTTGATTTTTTTTTGCCAGATTTTCCATAAAAATTTTTAGGTTGGGAGGGAAGTCCACGCCCTGAAATATCTTAGTCTGTCACATTTTTAGCTGGTCACACAGCATCAAACATGTTTTAGAAAGGAGAATTTCTGACCATGACCTTATGTAAAAATGCTGTGATAACAAAGACTCCTCAATAGGGCTTTTGTGTACAGTGGTTTATACCTCAAGGTGTTCCAAAATAATAATACTACAACTGCAGCCATCACCACATCTCATGCTGAAGAGAAGCTGAACTGAAATTCAACTCTGGCACCCAAGGCCAAATAAACAAAATGACCTCTCCGAGACAACCCATCATAATAAAAAATACCTTTCACAAAAATGCCAAAAAGGATTCCTTTTCTGCCATAAGACAATCTTATCAGAAACAAGCCCTTCATTTTCACGCCAAGACAGCTTTTAGCAGGACGCAGAACTACTCTACTGTGACACTGAAATCACCTCTGCTTAATTACAGCAAAATACGTCATCCCAGGCTTGTACTTCCCACGCAAGACAGGAACCATACTTCTACTAATCTGAGAGGTTCTGAAGGATCCAGACACTTTTTCAATCCCCTTTTTCACTTCCAGCATTCGGGGAACTGTCCCAACCACCAACCTCTAGCCTCCCTGTTAAAAGCAGACCTCTGTGCAGAAAGAAATGAGAGCACCTGCCAGACACCAGGAAAACCAAGTTGGTATCTCTGCTTCCCACAACCAGGAGGTATTTAGCTCAGGGAGTTTTTAAACAGGAGATGCACAAGCACAGTCCAGAGCACGCATCAAAACCCAGATCCTGGAGGATTGTGCGCACACACTCCTACACTGTGGGAAATGTGGCTTTAAGTACAGAAATGCACAGCTTAGAAATCACCTCTCTCATGTCATATTTGTGTGTTTTATCTCCTAAACCACTGTATAAAAGGTGGATACCTCACACTATAAGACCCCATCTCCAATTAGGCCAAGCAAACACTGTCTCTCCTCCCAAATAAGAGATAGTTGGTGATTTTGGCTTTTTTTCCTCATCTTTCTTGACAGCAAAAATGCTGTGATGAATTTATTAAAGTGCTTATTTCAAATGAGCATTCTTCCAGCACATGGCGTTAGTGGTAGCGCTCCAGACATTTGATCTCAGTTTTCTAAGAAAATAAAAGCATCTCAAAGAGAGCAAACATCTCACAGCAGCTTTACACAGTTATACCTGACACACAAAAACTACGGATACACCAGCAACACAGGATTACACTTCTTCACATTCAGGCAAAATTTAGTCTTTATTGAATCCTGAAGTGATTCTTAAACAACACGAACACCTAACCCGGTGTATCCACTAAGAGGAAGAGTCTACCACCAAACGGTTAAACTAACATGCAAAACGAGAAGTTACCTTTCTAATTTCGTCCAGCACGGTTTCAAATGATTTCTTATCCATCTTTATTATTTCATTCAATGGAGATACTTAAAATATGGAGGAAAAAAAAAATTAAAAAAAATAGAATATATATATCCAGGCCAAAGATTTTACTGACAGTCTTTAAGCATTCAAGGGGAAAAAAAAAAAATTAAAAAAAAATAATAAAAACCCCGAAGAAGGCAAGAAAGGCAGCCTGGGACCTCCTCGGCCCCTGGGAATTCAGCGCTGACGCCTCCGCAATGCTGGACACGGCACAAGAGACAAAGGCAGGCCGCCAGCCGCGGAGGGCACCCGCTCCCGCCCTCTGCAGCGCTCCGCGGCTCTTCTCCCGGCGCGGAAGGAAGAAGGGCCCGGGGCAGAGAGAGAGAGAGAAGCCGAGGCAGCGGCAGGGACGGGGGCGGCCGCCCAACGACCCCGCCGTTCCCCTCAACACGCGGCGCCGAGGCCCGGCCGGCCCGCACCCGCCCGCGGGGCGCCCCCGCACCCCATAGCTTGCTGCGCCGCCGCCCGCTTTGGTTCCGGTGTGTGAGAGGCCGAGGCGCTTCCGAGTGGGGCGCGGGGAGGGGAGGCGGAGGCCGAGTCGGGCCGGCGGGGCAGAGGGCGGCGGGCAGCCCCGGGCCACCGACAGCGCTCCGCCAATCCTGCCTCTCCGCCGTCGCGCGCGTGTGACATCACACCGCGGAGCCGAAGGCCCCTTTTTTTCATCACTGCTCGCCCTCAACGATGCCTGAGCAGAAGTAGCCGAAATTCGAGCCGGACTCGCCCCTTTCCCAGCTCCCGGGCGTCGCGCCGAAACGCTGAACGCTGCTGCGGGGAGCCGCTGGGCCCTCTCTGGCCTGCCTCGGCCCTGCCGCTGCTCGGGTCGGAGCCGGCATAGTTCCGGGCAGCCCCGGCGACAGGGGGCAGCCCTGCCCGCCCCCCTTCCCGCCCCCCTTCCCTGGCCCCCCTCGGTGGTGGGAGGCGGGGGAGGTGCCGGTCACGTGGTTGCCATGGCAACGCGTCCCGCCCGTTCCGGCCTCCATGAAGCGGAAGCGGCCGGCGGGGCCGTGGCTAGTGATGGCCGGCGGCCTGCTGGCCCTGCTGGCCCTGCTCTGGGGCGCGCAGGTGGGAGGCGGCGGTGGTGGTCTGAGGGACGGAGGGAGGGAGGAGGTGACGGCGAAGCGCGGGAGCTTTGTGTAAAACCTCTGGTTACGGCTTCCGGCCCGAAGGCAGGTCCCGGGGGAGGAGAGCGGTGGGGGCTGGAGCCGGTCCCGGGTCTCCTCGGGGACCCGTAGTGGTGCGGGCTGGGCCCCGGGACCCGGTTCGTCCCGGTGCCTTCCCGCGCCTTCTCCGGCTTAGGTGGCTCTGGGCCGAGGTTTGGTGATGGGGCTCTCCTGAGGCAAACGCGGGTGCTGGGGGGTTCTTTTTCAGGGGTTTCCAAGCAATATGGTCCGTGTAACAAGGAAAAACTTCATAATCTGTAGGACAATAACTTTGCAGCATTTACTCTTAAATTTTCTCCCTGCTTAATTACTTTTCCTTCATGATAGTCTAGTCTGTCTTAAAACGTTCGTAGATCTCTGTCGTCAGTCCCTACTTCTGGTGAGGCAATTAACGGAAATGTTACATGGCCCTGGTCCTTCAGGGCCACCACTTAGTTACTGCTTAGTTCTAGCCTGATCTTTTCTGTTTCAGTGCTTAGATCTCCATCCAGTACTTGCCACAGGGTAGCTGTGCTTGGCTTCCGTTCTTCTGCTGGAAAAGTAGAACAAAAAGGTGGAAGATCATTTTCTTCCATTATCCTTTAAAATGTAAACATCGGCCTGAGTTTTGCCATTCCTAGTATCTTACACTTCCTCATTTCTAAGAGTTAGTTTTCTTTCTTGACCTGTATTTTCCTTTTATCCTGATTTTTCTTTTTCTCGTCTTCTTAAGTAGTTATTTATTCTGTTGCAGTTGGAACCTTCTCTACTGCTTTACTTATTGGAGTGTGACTTACAGATAGTAATAGCAGCTTTGATGTAAGAAATTTCAGAGTATGTTTTTTGCCTTCTAATTCCAGAGCTCCCCAACCCAAAGGATTTCATTAGCTAATTTCCAGTTTGTTGCAATTTTCCCATTTGCACCCGAAAGCCCTGCTACAAGCCTATTTCTGTTTATCTGTCTTCTTAATTTAAATTGAGTAGATCAATTTACAATGTTTCAGAACAAAATTAATTTATACTGCTGGTTCTTCTGATCCCACCATTGTGGGATTTAACTACTTAAGGGTATTTATTTTTGTATTTTCAGGTTTTAAATGCATTTGATTACCCCTCCCCGTGGAGGGGACAGCAGCAGATGTACAAGCTGGACATAGGCTGGCCTAAAATTCCAGAATATTTCACTGGTCAAACATTTTGTGTTGCTGTTGACTCTCTTCATGGTTTGGTCTATGTGGGACAAGTGAGTGAGAATACGATATTTCTCTCCTTGTTAACCTAGTGTATTTTTGCTCTTAAAGTGGCTGTTTTAGAGTAATATATGTATGTATGTGTGTATGTATATGAATAGCTATTGTATCAGAATTTGTGAAGATATGAGTATAGATCTGTCTGCTGTATACGTTTTTTGAAAGCAGTTCTGGGACTGGACTTGCTTGTGCTTTTAAAAGCATTACATTTCTGCGATATGAATGCATGATCCAATTTAACTGATTTACAGATGCTTCTTCTCTAACTGTAAGGTGAACTGTGTTTCTGGGGCAACTGACTAGTCCCCTTCTACTCGTTCAGCCTTTGTCCTGTGAAGTCAAAACCACACAGCCCTTTCAGCCTGTTACAGTAACTGGAGTTCTGTTACTTGCTTTACCCAGTTCTGTGCATTGGTATTTCTAGGTCATGGATAAGACATTCTCTCCATGAAAAGTGGTGAGATTTAATTAAAGCACCATATGAGTACTTGAGTACCATACAGCTAATAAGTACAGTTACAGTTTTTCATGCCTGTGTTATGCTAGGCATGTTTTTCAGCAAGAACGTAAAAACATGATTGAAAATGGAGACCAAGATAGCTGCAGGAGCTTCGCTGCTCTTAAAATGGGACTTTATGTGATTTAAGTTGAAAGTCTAGAATGAGTGGAAGGTTTTGCATGCTAAACTTAGACCATTCTCTCTGTCTTCTAGCTGGAAAAAATGAGGTCTAGCAGACAGTCTCAGGAGACTCGTGATTCATGAAACATTGCAAAACCTTACCAACAGGAATTTTCAAAAATATGATAACTTGCTTAATGCTTTCTCTTAATAGACCTTTTTTTTGCCTTTTCAGAGGGGAGACAATGTACCAAAGGTACTTGTATTCTCAGAGGAAGGCTATTTTCTTTACTCCTGGAATGATACAGTTGAAATGCCTCATGGTATCTTTGTGTTGAACACCCCAACAGATAGTTCTGTATGGATCACAGATGTTGGAACAGGTATGCATGGTGGTGATATGAGAAGTATTAGGTGGGGAAGAAAATGCTAATATTGCAGATATTACTTAAAACAACTAATTTAAGTTTCTCAAATAATTCTGAGACATATTTGTGCTTTTCTTGCATAAACAAACTTCTCAGGTGCTGCACAAAATATTCTTGACAGTTCACAAGCTAAGCTGTGTGTCTGCTAATAGCTTCTGAACTTAGTAAGCAAGATTTTTGGAGGATGTTTTTTGTTGTTTTATTTTGTGGTTTGGGTTTTTTTTTTCTTTCCCCAGGAGAAGTATCAGGGAGGAAAAAATCTTCTGTCTAGACTTATCTTCTGTCTTAGGTTTGGTAGCCCTAATTCAATTGTAGCCTATAGATTTACTAACCCACAGTCATGTTCTCACTATAGAATTTTGTCTGTTTGATTTATTAATACAATTTGTGACTATCAGGAGATTTTATTTTTTAATCTTTGTAATTAGTTGTAATACTTACACTTTGTTTTGTTAAGATGTTTTTGCACTTTCTTTTTGTTTCTTCTTAATTCAGGGAAATATGGGCACACTGTGAAACAATATAGCCCTTCGGGTAAACTTTTGCAGACCTTGGGCACTCCAGGTAATGCTGGTTCAAGTTTGATTCCCCTCCAATTTGATCAACCAGCTGAGGTCTTCGTAGAGGAAAGTGGAGATATCTATGTTGTGGATGGAGATGGAGGAATGAATAACAGATTGCTCAAACTGTCCAACGGTATGGAAAAATGAACTTCTGTCGTAGTTGACTATTGAAAATTGAATTTAAATAACACAGCTTGAGAATACATTTATGCGAGGGCTAGGTAGACCTGTCATTTAACATTAGTTTGAAGACTTTGTTGGATTGGGTCCAGTTTTAATGCTTGTAACTTCAGGAGAAATCTCCTAATTGTTTATGACAAAAGGCTGAGAGACTGTTTGTTCAGGCTTCAAGAGAGAAGGCTAAGGAGGATTCTTATTGCTGTCTTCAAGTCAGTAATAGGAGGGTATAGAGAGCACAGACCCACATGTTTCTTGGAGATGCACAGTGAAGAATGAGGACACTAAGCAAAAGATGCAAGAAAGGGGAAATTTCAACTTGCTTTTTGGAGGGAAAGATTCGCGGTGAGGGGGATCAGACAGTGAGTAGTTTGCCCAGAGAGGATGTGCAGTCTCCACTCTTGGAGATGCTCAAAATTAGACGAGTTATGATAACCTAATTTAAGTTCAGGGTTGGGTTTGTTACAAGGCTAGTCCTGCTTTGAGACAGAGGTTGGATCTGATGGTATCTGGAGATCTTTTATACTTAAATTATTCCATTATTCTAATTAGCTTGCTTATGTTCCCCAGCTAGGTGGTCAGAGTTGGTTAGGGCAGTGAGTGAGGAGTCTGTGCGTGTCTGCAGTTGGGGAAAAATGATGGAGCAACCATTTCTCCTTTGAGCTATCATAAAACAGTCACTTTGCTAATATCTAGTTTGCAAAATGGTAAATTGTTAAAACTGAAGACTGCCAGGGAACAAAAATGTCAGGGTTTGGGCCAGACTGGCCACTGAAATGAACAACAGATTGTTTCAATTTAGTAAACAAATCAATACCATAATCAGCCAACTGTTGTCATATATATATATATATATAAATAAATACAGTGCTTAACAGGGCCTTAGACTATGGCTTTTGTGTACTAGTAGCTACATATCTGAAACCATATTCCTTAATCCACTAATAAAAATACAGTAGTTAGAATCATAGAATCATAGAATTTCCCAGGCCAGAAGGGACCTCCAAGGGTCATCTAGTCCAACCCCCCCACAGTCAGCAGGGACACCCCAAACTAGACCAGGTTGCCCAGGGCCTCGTCGAGCCTCTCCTTGAATATCTCCAGGGATGGGGCCTCAACCACCTCCCTGGGCAACCTGTTCCAGTGCTCCACCACCCTCCACAGTTCTTGGAGTAGTTCCTGTATTTCTTGGGTTTATGTATCAGTATTACTGTGTTTAAAAAGCCTCAGTTTAGAAATTCCACCATTTAAAAATTACGCAATGTAACTTTGCAAGGGAATGAGTAGAGCTATTTTATTTGTTCATGCTGTGATATTCTTTTTTTATTATTATTTTTTTTACTTTTCTCTTTCATTGTGCTCACTGTTTAGATTACAAAGAGATATGGCTGGCTGGAACAAATGGGACCGGCATCGGTCAGTTCAAGATTCCTCACAGTGTAACACTGGATTCTTTTGGACGGGTAAAGAATAAAGGGAGAATTTTTTTTTTTTTGTCTTCTGACAGACTTGCTTACATCTGTTTGAACAAAACAAATTGTATTTCTTTTCAATTGAACTGTTGTGATGTGGGTCATTTCTATGTGGGTTAGTTTTCGGGGTGAGAGCAGTCATAAGCTGAAGTTTCTTTCCCACTGCAGATCCTGCTGCAAAATTAACACAAGGGTTCTGCCAGGTTACGTTGTCAGTGTCCATGTAACAACAGACTGTTCCTCCTGCAGTTTCTAACACATTGCCCTTGTGAAAGTGCAGGAGAATTATATTCTGTAATATATGGGAGTTGGACTAGATGATCTCTATGGTCCCTTCCAACTCTAGAAATTCAGTGAAATTCAGTGAAATATATCTATCCAAGGGCTTAAGTTTCTTCAGGGGGCTTTTAACTTAATTTCATATTTGGAAATTCCAAATAAATTTAAGATGATAGTAAGGCTCTGGCGAAGCTGTGAACGTCAGTCACTTTCTGCATGCAGCTCAAGAGTCTACTTCTGCCAGGTGTTAATTGTAGTCTGGCTTTGCCCTGCTGCTCTTATAGAGGACTTGTGCAGTCATTCCTTAATCTGTTTCAGGGAAAATAAGATTACTTGACTAAAACATCTTAAATCACTGATTTGAGCTAATTCTGCTGATGCTGTCTGAACCAGAATAAGAAGCATATATAAAATCACTTCTCTGCCAAAAACGGCTGGGTGGGAGGGAGAAGAGGGACGTGGCCACTTTGTGTTGAAGGGTAGCCATGAGTATATACACTCAAAGACAGGAATTGTGATGGGCTACAATTTAATTACCAATGCAGTGTTGATCATCAGCCTACGTTAGAAATCAATTCCTAAGAAATGTAAGAGACTGCTGTAGTAGTGTTCTGTTTAAAAATAGTGATGAAAAGTCTCAGGGTCAACTTGTTTATTGCTTCCTTGCGGGTGATATCCCAGAAAAGTAATGAAGTTCATTTATCAGACTGAGTTGTTACCAGCTAAAATTTCAGTGATTGCAATACAAGAGAGGCCTTCACTGGAACTGTTTGATGGTATGGCCAGCTTGCAGTGTTTGTGAACCCAGTTAGCACGGGGTGGAACGGAGATAAGGACAAAACTGACTAGACAAAACATACTGAAAATGCTCTTAGTGTTGCTCAACATTTTTCGTTGTATTAGGCATTTCATAGTGTTTGTAGATGCAGTCGTCATAGGCCTGGATCAAAAAAGAGACTACTGTTGAAAAACAAATTGTTAATGGGTGTCAGGCCAGTATCTTTAGAATTAAATCAGTGGGAATATGTCCTCACTGGGGCGGGGAGGAGCAGAGTTCTACCAAATATACCCGTATCATAGCCACAAAAATGAAGAGAAGGCACTGATTTCTCTGTTAGTATAAAATAATTTGTGTATCTTAACTGTGTGGTGGTTTTGTTTTATATCTGGAAGATCGTATCTATTTACTTTGTCTTGAATGTGGAGGTTCATGCATCCAAGGTGTACTTCTTTTTTTACTCCAGGAGACTTTGCCTGCATAAGAAACTAATGTGTTTGATTTGTGAACAGCTGTGATTCTTGTTCTTAACAGGTATGGGTTGCAGACAGAGACAACAAAAGAATCCAGGTTTTTGATAAAGTCACAGGGGAATGGCTTGGGTCTTGGAGCAGCTGTTTTTTAGAAGATGGGCCCTATTCTGTCAGGTATTATTGAACAGTTCATCATCTAGAAGCATGCAATTGCATGGATAAGGTGTACTATTACCGGTGAATTAAAACATTGATATTTAATGCCTGATGCCAAAGAGTTACCAGTTTAACTAATAGGGTGCAAAGATCTGCACAGTTGTATCTTGACAAGGAAATCCTGGCTTTATAACAAGCCCCTTGGATTTGAGTGCAGGACTGGGAACTTCATTTTAAGTTGTTGTGTGTTGTTGACCTTATTGATGCAGCTTTTACAGGAATAAAGATTGTCTTGAATGAATTTTCTGTAGCATAATCTGTCTCGAGGAACAGCAATGTCTAGAGCAAGACTTACAAGTTAATTCTCAATGTTTCGCTGTATTCAGTCTGTTGTAGCCTTCAAAACCTTGATTGTTAAGGAGGTTTTGTTTCTTTTAAAGTGTACAGTTGTCTTAAAATGAGATGTCATACGAAGTTCATAACTGAAAAAAATATATTTCTGTCTTTCACAGATTTACTGCCAATTACAAATACCTGATTGTAGCCCAGATGAATATCCACCGGTTAGCGATCTTGGCAGCAGCACCAGTTGGCTCCATTGGGGACTGTGTTATGGTCGGCGCAATCCAGCTGGCAGATGAAACCAAACCACACCTTGTGGATGTAGACATGAAGAGTGGAGCAGTCTATGTTGCAGAGATCGGAGCCCAGCAAGTACAAAAATACATACCTTTAAGCTGATGGTTTCCTGCAACTGCTGTGGCACAAGCTGTGAGACATACAAGACCTATGACCACATTTTCTTGAGTTTTCTGTAGCTTGTGTTTCCTTAGACAAGCACAAAACATTGTGCTCCCAGAAGTGTAGAGCTCGAATCTGTCCTGGCTGTTCTGCAGTCCTGGAGAAGGACCTGGTCTTGAGCTGTTACTCATTTTAGTAACGCTGCAGTGGCTTTTGCTTTTGTTGCTGGAAATTGGAAAATGACTTTGATAAGTATCTTCATTTTATTATATAAAACTCTACAAACACAGCTGCTGTTACTAAATGTATTAGGTCATCTTGGGGCTCCTCTACTTAGCCCATGTGTTGTTAAATGAAGGCCAGAACTGTCTGAAAGAAGTGTATAAATTATTTCCTCGAAAGCGAGCACCTAATTTTAATATTTTTTTGATTTTTGGAATCATTGTGCTGATACTGCCTAACACTGAATACAGAGATACATTATGATGTCAAATAAGATGCTGCTGGATACTGATGTCAGTGCCGATACTGGCATCTGCCTTAGGTATTTAATGACATAAGCATCGAAATCTAAGTTTTCAGCCCTTCCTAAAGTGGTGAAGTCAGTAAGACAAATAAACTTCAGCTCAATTGATAGCAGGCACTTCAAACTAAATTAAAAGTATGTGCACAGCAGCCAAGTACTGATTCTTAACTAAATCAATTCTTAACCTGATTTGGTTTATATCAGCATGAGTTTTCTGTTCCGTAAGATTTCATAGTGGAACATATTGAAGTTCAACTCAAATTTAAGTTCTTCAAGATAAACAAATTGCAATTTGCTAGGAAAGTCTTAATCAGCATTAGGGACTAGGAGACACGTGATTTTCTCCCAATCTTATTGAAGCTCTGTCAGTTAACAGCAGTGCATCTGTTTTGATTTGGGGGTTTTTAACTGCTTTGTATCTACTCCATTAATGTCTAGAGATAAGTTTCTTATGCTATATCCTAGCATATGTTTCCAAGCTCTGTTCTTAAAAAATAGCGTCTCTTTCTGTTCCCAGTCCAGGGTGGTTCCGTTTTCTTTAAATGTTGCTACAAGATTTTAAGTTAGTTCACTTTTTAACACAGAGGGAAATGGGTATGGGAAAATGGGAGTGGGAAAATGACACGGCAGAAATGAGACAGCGAGTAGCTGTTTACCTCTGTAAAGCTGTGGATCCACATTCCATATTTATCTCCTAGCTCTCCAAAACATTTGGGAGGATTTTTGCTGTTTCCACACACTTATTCTGCTGTGTGGATTATTTTAATGCTAATTACCAGCTAAGAGAGGCCATTTCTTTTCAACTTCGTTAGAAAGGGAATATGGGAAATAGAATTATTCTGATGGGAAATATCCATTTCAGTAAACATTACCAAAAGGAAATGCATCTTAATTCAGCAGACTTCTGCCTATGGTCATAAATTTCTGGGTCAGTGGATGGGGAAACCTGTCCAGAAAAGTCAGATTCATATGGTCTATAGAAAGTTACCCAGGTGTGGAGACTGATGGCCAGATTTCGGTACTGTTTGAGATTAATGCACTAAATGTGAATGCTTTGTTGTTGGCTACATCCACAACACTAAAAGCAGATCTAAGCTGGCTGCTCTCGTGCAAGCCTAAGAACCAGAAGTTCAGGGTTACACGCTAGCAAATATGATCCATCATTCACGTGGACTTGAATGAGAGCCAGTAAGTAATATTTATGAGCTGAAGAAGTAGCAGCACTTCCTCTAGACCTGGACAGATAGGTCCATGTTGCCTTGCAGCAGGTTGTGTGGATTTTCTAACTGGATCTCCACTAGCTCAGGGATCTCTGCTCTGTGTGCAATGTAGCTATTTCTCACCTACACAAGGTGGATTTCTTTAAAAAAATTATAACACTCAAATATAGTGAATGATATTATAGTATCTTGGTGATGTAAGGGGTTCAGACATGTCCATCCTTCCTCACCACATCCTCTCCTTATTTATATTTCCTTTGTCGCATCCCTTTGAAACTGGACTCGAAGCTCTCTGGGAACATGCTTCTGTGTTCAGTAAAGGAGTAGTGCACTTCTGGATGTTGACAATTAAGTTATTTCTAGAAGGTTCTGTTTGCTGTGTGGATCTGCTCTCAATTCTCTTTACATGGGCTTTTGCAGCCCCTGGAAATGGGGAGCATTCATCCAGTTTTGTCTGGCTTTACTGAAGTTGGCCATGGAGCCAAAATGTGCCTTGCCTCTTGGCATTTGGGTGTCTGTGATAAGAAGGGATGCTCATTGTTAACTAGTTGGGATGCTTACACTTCTTTTTACCTCTGTGTCTATGACCAGACTGAGAAAATGATTGATTTGTGCACTAGCTTGCTAATTCTCTGAAGGTTTTCTTATGTATCTTCTTGAAGCTGATTTCTGAAAAATTGCCTAATAGTATAATTTGATAAAATAAATTGAGAATTTCCCATTATAAATGGCTCAGATGCTTTATTTCTGCACTAATATCAATACGTTCCATTGCAATGGATTACTTTTCTAAATATGAAATCCTCAGCGCTTTAATGAGGTATTTAATAATTTCTGATACCAACATTCAAATGTAATCAAATATTCCATGTTATCTTTATACATTATTATTTCTGCGGCTCATCTCACACATTCTAATTTATGTATCAATAAATTCACATAAAGCTCTCAGAGATGTTTTCCTCTGACTAATTAGCAAAATGATACGATGAGTTACATAAGTGCCATGTATAAAAAACCTGTGTTTAAACTGTATACCCTTTTGACACTAATAGGGAAATTAAAAACAAACTAACAAAACACTTGTTAATATAGAATCAGGTTTTATTTCCAGAAAAGATTTAGCAAGCAATCTGTTTAGTTTTCAGAAGATTAAGAAGGGATTTCACTATGGGTTAGAAATATTTGCACAAGAAGAAAAATAACGTACTACAGCGTCGACAAGAGAGAAAACAGAAGGTTGTTGCTAGAACCCCTCAAAAAATCTAATTTTAGTTAATATGTGCCAATTTCAAGTGCAAGAAGTAATCTCTGGAGTATCCAGGCAAAGGTAATGGGAGTATTCCATGTTTTGATGTCTCCCACTTTGCAGACTTTTTTAAAAAAATTTTTCTTAATTTTTCGCTGTATTTTTTTTTTTTAATTGGTCCTCCTATTTGGGTAAGTACCTAGATTGTTCCCAGGAGGTAAGACCAGGACTATTAATACAGTTCATCTTGATTTTGCTGTGATGTGTGATGCTAACCAGCCTTTTTTTTTTCATTGGTTTGGGTTTTTTTGGTTTGGTTTTTCTTTTTTCTGTTTTTATAGTCATCAGTTGATTAACAATACCCGTCTGGCCAAAACAAAAGAAGCCTGAATGAGGTTTGTGCCCTGCAAGATGAGTGTAGTGAGGATGAACTGCCTCAATAAGAGCAGAGGGGGAAGGTGCACTGCTATGTCAGTGGGTCTGCTCCTATCCTCTTAGGAAGCTCACGGCCTTAAAGTGGCTATTAACCTTTTCGAAGCACTAAGTAGTTAGTTATCTTAGTTGACACTTTCTTGACAATTTGTAAGCTGAGAAGCCTTCTCAGAAGTGATCCATCACCAAGAAGTGTTTGCAGTCGCTGAAGTTGCTTGTATAAAACATGAGAGGGCACCAACGCCCTGCTGATGGTTGGCAAGCTCAGCCTAGCTGTGTACTAGTACATGGAAACCGTTGGTAGCTTCTAAACGTTTGGAGTAAGGCAACAAAGATAATGAATTGCTCCAGACTTCCTTTCTCTTTTTAAAATAGATTGCTTTAAACATAAGCATATAATTGTATTATAGTCATTTTGGCTTATAACTACTGGATTTATGTCCATCTTTTATTGATTTCCATTGTTTTTCCTGGAAAAAAAACCACAACAAACCAGTAATTCTGTGTCCAGAGACAACTGGGTATGGTGAATTAATTCTTCTACTCCTTATGTCATTGATTTCAATGGAATTACCCCTGATATGTTGCTTTGGAAACATAATAATTTATAATAGTAAAACTATAGCAGCATAATTATACCAAAAGAGTAATACCAGGATATTTCCCTACAGAAGTGACCCTGAAAGAGATTAGATCTAAGCTCACTGGATCTGATTTACCAGTTTTATTCTACCTCTCCTTTCTCAGCCTTCACCTAAAAACCTTGCTGTGATTTTGTATTATTATTATTTAATTCTACTTTTTGGGGGAGATTGCTTCTGCAAAAATTGTATTTGCCAGCAGTTGCCGTCAAAATGTTTGAACACGGACTTTTCTTCAGGTAAATGATTCAAAACATTTGAATCTTTCAGTGTTTCAAAGTCATGTTGTTTGTATGAAATTTGAAAGTCGGAGCATATCAATTTATGCACACAGGATGCTTTGTTACTGCATAAAAGCCAAAGTAACACCGATACAAATGAGATATGAGTGGACACACTTTATCATAAGATCACAGGTTTTGAGGCTGAGGAAACCAAATATGACCGTGTAACTGCATCTGCAAAACAGAGGTAAAAAAATCTTGCCCAGTTACATCAGGAATGAAGCCATCAATGCTGTCTGAGATATGATGGGGTCTCCTACAAACAAAGTAAGACTTAAGAAATCTAACTCTTGAATAAGGTCTATCTATTTTAGTCCTCCTTTGTAGTCAATAAGCATCATTATGAAGGGAAGGCTTTACGTTTAATCTGGACTCATTTGTCTTTAACCTCGTGTTTTCTGTTTTCAGCTGGCTTGGAGATCTCTCTAGCGGGAGAAATATCTGCTCTGTCCCCCGTGGAGTCACCTACAGATGGTGACTGAGTCATCTCTTGTTCTGCTCCTTACCTAAACTGTATAGATCGGAAAACATGCCTCGCAGTGGAAAACGGCTAAGGCTTTAATTTCAAAATGTTTTCATGGCATTTATTATTAACAACAAACAAATCCACAAGGGTGTTCACCGCGTGACAGGCAGCCTGGCTCTTAGAACTGCCGGCACTAAAACTGTCCATGCCCTGAGCAGGACTAATGCCACCTCCCTGGGATTTCATGGGGCTGAATTTGTTTCTGCCCTTAACTCGCAGTGCACTACTGTCTCTGGACAGTTGTCAAAGGATTTGGGTGGCTTAGGGGGTCAAGGTGTAAAGGAAACCTTCTGGAAGAATAGACCAGAATAGATAGTTTTGTTTTGTTCTGTTTTGTTTTAAAATCTGTGCTTGCTGTTAAAGTCCTTAGCAAACTTCCCATGCTGTTAACGTTTATTTTTTTCTTTGACAGGGTCTTAATGGGAAGATGTGGCTGAAATTGGAGTGTCAGTAAATGGCTTATTAAGACAAACTGGTAAGTTGCTAGCTGGTGGTCATTTCATTAAGGTAATTCAGTATTTTCAGAAGACTTCCGAAATACTAATGTCTGCTTAGAACTGCCTTAGTACCAGAGATAAAAAAAAAAAAAAGGCAAATATGGTTTAAAGAAAGAAAAAAAAAACCCAAACAAACAAAAAAACAACAAAAAACCCATACCTATGAGTGAGGATTCTGGAGAGATCCAATAGAACTGATGGCTGTGCCTTATCAATTGACATAAACCATAATGAAAAAAAATAGCTATGTTGGACACACAACCATTAAATCTATTACAGGTCTTTGGAATAATCTCTGAGGATGTAGGTCAGGATGATCTGACTAATAAAATTTGCTTAAATTTTCAAAAGGCTTTCCACAGCATCTCTTGCCAAGTGCCCATAAAGAAATTTGGTGGGATAAGAAAGAAGGGATAATAATGGATTACTAATTAAAATATTATAAGTGCAGTATATAAAAAACTAGTTCTGTGCTGCTCAATATATTGACAAATGATCTGGAAATGGACTTGGGAAGTCAGGGACAGAATTTACTGACAACACCAAGCTACTCAGGCTAGTTAAGACAGCAGCTGTAAAGAGCTGCAGAAAGATGTAATGAGATTGAGTGTGCAATAAAATGGGAAATGGAATATAACATTGATAAATATAAAATCAGGTACAATTAGTAGAAAGAAGTCTAATTTTATATATACAATGATAGCTTTGATATATATATTGCCAGTTAGGAAATGATCTCAGGCTCATAAAAGATTGTTCTGTGAAAATATGAGCTTTCAAACTCGGCAGCAGTCAGAAAACAAAGAGAATAATGGGAGGTACTGGGAAAGCACCAGATGATCAAACAACGTAATTATGTGAATTCCTGGTGAATGCTCGTTTTGAATACTGCAGGCAGTTCTGGCTCTTCTTCCCCCTTCTAATCTCAGGAAGGCTACAGTGGAACTAGAAATACCAGAGAGAAGGGGAAGAAGAGTCTGTTGAAAATCCTTGACTGTATTCAGCTGCCATCATCAGCGTTTCATCATCGAAAGCACCTGCATGAACATGCCTTTTTCTCTTATAGCTTCAGAACTGGGTGAGGTCTCCTGGTGGGGTGGAGAATAAAGGAGGAGGTGGGGGATAAAGATGGGCAGAGATATGTGGTGTCTGTTACCCAGGAGAAGTCAGCTTGAGAGGAAGATAAGAGTTAGAAAATACCCTAAGGTTTTAGTGTTGAAGGTGCTTTCTGAATAGAACATATTCACCAAGTCAGTTCATGGGTCTTACTGCAAATCAAAAGTTTCAGCAGAGGCGGCCCTTACTTCAGTTTGGGCAGTTTTGGTGTTCTCTCCAAGGTGCATGCCCTTGTGGCCTGTGGGACCTGTCCTCTGTCTCAGAGATGAAAAGCACTATACTTGCTGCATCAGGTAACAGAATTGCAGAAAATATCACATTTTTCTGTAATACATCATCATCCATGGTCTGACACAAGCGTGAGGTAGCACGAGCATAGGCTAATTTTTGTTCAAAGATTGGAGCGCTTGAAAAATCTTGGAATTAAAATGAAGGTGCTCTTTCAAATGTTTTAATAATTTCCAGCCAGGAGACAATGCCGATAGCTGTGCTGGTTCATTCTCATCTGCAGAAGGTGCCTGTTGGCTCCCAAATGGAGCCTCCTTGTATGTCCCAGCTGCAATGTTCATAGCACTGGGTGATTGGTCTGCAAGCAAATATCTATATTTATCTCTACAGGAGTGCTGTGAATGAGAAAGGAAGGAGATATCATAATATTAAGGGCAAGCGCTTCAACATGTATATAAATTTTACGGTGGAAATGTGTATTTAATCAACTGAGGAGACGCTGAGGTCAGGGGAAAGAGGGGGAAGTGATTCTACCTAGTGTATTTCATACTAGCTCTCTAATAAGGCTTGCAGTATCTTTGTGCTCAGCCTAATTTCGGAGCTTTTAGGAAAGAAAACTCTAGAAAAATGTTATAAGAGTGGGAGATTATATGATACCTAAGGGTTACCATGATGTGCCTCCAGGGTGGTACCTTAATGGGGCTTTGTGATGGATGATGCTACCAGACAAGAACAGTAGAAAGTAAGTTTG